TGTACTAACACTTTTGCCTTGAAGTGCGATCCAGGCATTATAATTTCAATTTATTTTGTAGAATTCTTGCCGAAAGATTTCCCTACCTGTAGAATCAAAGAAATAAGACCTCTACCACGAAAGGACTTACAATTTCTTTTATGAATATTTTTTTACACAGATCCAAGTGTGAGTTTAATCCGATCCAATAGGTGTTTTTTTTTCTAGGAAACTTAGTGAGAATGTCTCCATGCATTATATTTCCAAGTGCTTTACTTTATTCATCCGTTATACTTTAGTGGAACAAGGATAAGAAACGGTTTCTTTGTTTCTTTGGTACATATATGATTTAGGTCCTAAAATTTCAATTTGATATGAATTTGTTTATGGGTATGTGAAATTAAAAATTGAAAATGGGAATTTTTTACTGTAATGGAAGCTGAGGAAGAAGAGGATAATGGTATATTTAATAAATTTAAAATTGAATGAAGGGCTATTAAGAAAGAAAATGGTTTTGTTTAGTTTTAATTAGAAGGCACCAGCCATTTCATTAAAAAAAAGCCACTAAAAATCCACGTGGTATAGAAAATTTTTAGAAAATGGCAAATCAGCCCTTGTACTCTTTACATGGTGTCAAATCAGCCCCTCAACTAAATATGGTGGCAGATTAACCCTCGAACCCTTGAAATGGTGGCAAATCAGCCCTTGTTAGACGGAATTCAATTTAACCAACAGAGCACGTGTTTGGGTGAGATCTAGGATGATGATGTAGCCTTCCATGTCTTGGTGTCTTAATGCTACATAATTTTAATATCATTAATTTCTAAATTTTTTATAAGAAAATAAAGAAATACTCTATCTTGTCTTAAAATAATTATTTTTTTATATTTTTTTTTAAATTAAGGGCTTGAGGATAATATTTGTATTTATTTATAATACCCCTAAAAAAGAAATAAATGAAAAAAGATTTTTTAATTAGATGATTAATTAAATTGAACAAATAATAATAAAGTTAAAGCATAAAAAATATTTATTTATATTGAAATATAAAAAAAAGATAATTAATTTAGAATAAATTTAAAATTAAAAAATGATAGTTATTCTGAGATAAAAGAAATATTAAAATCTATTTTAAAAAAATCAAATATCCATATTTGCTCTTGCTTAGACATAATTATACAAAATCTTATTAGTTTAAATATTAGAATGTTTTAATTTTTAATGTTCTTTACTTATATATAATTTGTTTGAATCAGGTTATAATTCAATTAAATCTATTATTATTTAAAAAATTCTTAATTTAATATTAACATAAAAATTAGGTCAAAGTTGAGTTGGGCCCACTTTTATATCAACCCCCTACAAGTCATCCAAATGACATGGTTTAAGTATCATTTTGGTCCATCAACTTTTTACTTTGGCACCAAAATTGTCCCTCAGCTTTAAAAAATACCAAAATTATCCTCAGACTTTCATTTTTGGTACCAAAATGGTCATTCTGTCAGTTAAATAATAGATGGCACGTTAACTTGCCAGCAAATCACTGGATTTTTTTTAATTTTAATGACGTGTAAATTCCATGTAAGAAAATTTAATATTTTTTATTATT